TAACATTTGCATAGTATATCCTTTTCAATCTTTTTATTTTCAACCCCATTTTTTTTTTTTATATGTTTTCTAGACAGTCTTACTCTGTTGCCTGAGCTGGGATACAGTAGCACTATGACAGCTGACTGCAGCCTCCAACTCCTGGGCTCAAGTGATCCTCCTGCTTCAGCCTACTATGTAGCTGGTACTACAGTTGCATCTTACCATGCTTGGATAATTTTTATTTTTTGTAGAGACAGAGATCTGTACATAGCATGGGCTAGTTACAAAGTCTTGGTCTCAAGTGATTCTCCTGATTCAGCTTCCTAAAGTGCTAAGATTATAGGCACAAGCCATTGCGCCCAGCCCTCAACCTACTTTTAATGTATTGGCTAGTTTTATAGATAGGATATAGTTAGGTCATCAAGAAAATTCACTCTACCAACCTCTTCATTTTAATTGCTGTGGAGTATTTAGAGCACTCAAATTTAATGTAATTTCTGTTATGTTAGCTTATCAGTTTATTTGTTGTTTTCTGTGTGTTCCCTGTTTTTAGTTTGTTCTCTTTTATGAACTATTTGAATATTTAAAAATATTCTATTTTGATTTATTTGTGGTGTTTCTGAGTATATCTCTTTGTATAGATTTTTTTGGTGGTTGGTCTAAATATTACATTGTACATAGAAACATATCAATGTCAAATAGTATCAACATTTTACCAGTTCAAATGAAGTGTAGAAACCATAACTCCCTGTACCTTCCCTCATTTATAATTGTCTTAGATATTTCCTTTACATACATCAAGAACTACTAAGATGGGTAGTGCCTGTGGCTCAGTGGGTAGGACACCGGCCCCATATACTAAGGGTGGTGGGTTGATCCTGGCTTCGGCCAAACTGCAACAAATAAATAGCTTGGGGTTGTGGTGAGTGCCTGTGGTCCCAGTTGCTCAGGAGGCTGAAGCAAGAGAATTGCCTAAGACCAGGAGTTGGAGGTTGCTGTGAGCTGTGTGACACCTCGTTGGCACTCTACCCAGGGTGATAAAGTGAGATTCTGTCTCTACAA